TATTTAAATCTTCCTGTTTGCAGACTCCCGCAGCTGCTAATTACCCCCTCTGCTGCGTCTACAGTTTCAGCATTATAAATCGAGGAGTAGACGTGTCACCAGCACAGAGTGACCCACCCCCCCAGTCAATTTGATAGTGATTTCAAAAGGTTTACGATTGGGACAGGCCATGATGCACTAATGGCAGTTGGAGGAGTCAGGACTATGTTTAGGCAGCACCGTGACATCTGTAGTGTAAGGTCTTGTTTTGGCCCTTCTTTGCCATTACAGAGCACTTAATGTTTTTGGCGACGTACATCTGGGTTGATGTCTTCCAAACAGCTAGAGGAATGAACGAAATTCATGACCACGTGGAGTCAGAGGCCCCCATGTTCCAGTAACGCGGAGGTGCATACCAAAGGAACCGATTTGAACTTGCTGGCGGTGGTCGCCATAGCGATGGCATAAATAGATTGGGTCGGGGGTGGGGCGGGGGTGCGCTCACCCGGACCCTGAATAGAAACAGCTGTCACCATATTTCTTGAAGAAGGAATGAGGGAAAACAAGCTAAGGTGTGAAAACAGACCAGAGGCGTGAAGCGAGGCTGCCATCTTTCCCGTACGGCCAAAATGCAAAACAAAACCTTTAGCCTTTAGCGTGAGCGGCCATGAGCCAGAGCTTTGGGGCCCGGCTACACATGGGAGCTCCGAGTTTAAAAAGCGATCACAAATGCACATTAATACCAGGCCAAAACAACATGATTTACACCATAAATGATTCGTTTTAGCTTGCATTTGTGAAATTCAAAGACAGAGGGAAAAACGTAAATGCCAAGAAAAATGAAATATGAATAATATTATTAATAATATATAAAAGTAATATTACTACTACTAATAATAATAATTATTATAATAAAAAGATAAGCTACTTGGTATCAATGTGCTTCTGTAGATACTAATTAAGGTAAATTGTCAACAATACGAAGCAGTACTTAACAATTCACTCCTACTCTCATTAACACCAGCGGAGGACAGTAAAATAATCCCCATATGACTAATGTCAGTTGTCAACATCCAATTTCACTCATGCCATTCTGCGATGTAGATTTCATGTTGCTACAAATCACATGGCAGCAGATGTGGGCTGCGTGCTGGGTGGGTGTCATGAAGAAGGATTTGGGGGACAGAGTGCGATCCAGATTATAACTCCAGTAAGCCTGTGTTTCCCTGGCTGCCTGTAAGCACAGAGGTTCCTGTTTACTGTGTTGTTATGTAATAGCATGAAGCAGAGAGACTGCCTGTCAGGCAAATGCACCACAAGGCCCTTTAAAAAAGTCATTTTAACATCAATACTTGAACCTTCTATCAAGGGATGATCTGCAAGAGGCGCATACCACCCCCCAGGTCTGGGATATTCATTAGATAAGAGAACATTACGTCACACTGGACTGACAGACCATGACCAGTCTGACAGCCCTGAAACTTATTTGTTGCTAAAGAAATGTGTAAGTATAGGGCCTGACGTTCCCAGACATTCCAACTCCACGACTGAATACGAGCAGGAATATTTCAGTTATTCATTTCCCAATGCTTCTCAGGGGTCTCTACCATCACATTTAGAGGAATAATCTTGCAGACATCTGCCTCTCTCTCTCCCCCCCTCTCCCTCCCTCCCTCCTCTGTTTCAGACGGGTGAAGTTCAGGCAGGCTCTCATGTCAGGCACCGCCTAGGTGTAAAGACATTCTGAAGAACCCATTAAAACTCTTTATAAAACGCATCATTACATGATTGAAAATGACAAAACGGAAACCAGCTGTGGAGCAGCTTGGTCCTCAGACGATCCCGTTTGGATGTTACACATTAGGCTGTTGCCTTTCCTGGAACAATACGCCTTCTTAGATGCGGGCAGAAGCATTCTTTGCACGTGGAAAGACTAAACCTGCCAGATGTCTGTAGATAAACCCCCCCTGGACAAAGAACAAAGGTGTCACGGCGAAGAGCACGACAAGAATCACTTAAACCAATCAGCTGCGGGCCAGGGTCTGCTGTCACTGATTTCAGCACAATCCTACCTCAAAAAAAAAAAAACAAAAAACAGACCTTCATTTTTTTTTAGAATTTAACCTTATATTACCTCATGCGTGAAAATAGTTCTCCGTAATACCATTTATCCATCTGTTCATATTAGAGAGAGACTAACTAACAGTCAGATTTTTTGAGATGTTGCTCTTTTAAATGCATCCTGCAAAGACCCTGCAAACTTGTGTCATGTATTAAAGTTTGATCACTTAACAACAAAAGCAACCACCGGCAAAATGTTCTGGCAGTGCTGCGAAGGAAAATTGCAATCCTCTTAAAAAATACTGGGCTGCCTTTAAGCGAAGCTGAAATAATGAGAATGTACCCGGTGAGTGTTTAGAAAGATTTTCCGTGTTCCCATGAACGGAGAGAAAACACCTGTTCGGTGGGACTAAACACCGTTAATCCACCATCATAATAAAACCGTAACATGTCATCCTCCTCAGAATGAGGTACGTACTGGGTGATGAACGGAATAACATTCTTGAGAGAGGTGTCTCTGCATTGCCCGCTGCAGGCATACGTTAGGGCAGCTAATCTAAGGACCCAGCCGGGCTCTTAAAACGGACAAGACCTGGACAGCTCGACCCGCAGTGTTTTGGTTTGGAGGGTTACAGAGGGTCACAGTAATAACAGGGTGGTATTTTCTCATTTGCAGCTGTCAAAAGCAGGTACATTTGGAGGAGAAATTAAACATGTCCTAAAATCTGCTATCTGGCTGTGGCGAGAGCAGCCTTCTGCCAAGAACATGTTGTGACTTCACTTTAAACTGCCTGAACAAACTTTCAGCTTCGTTTTCATTTTTCACACAGTCATGGTGTCTGTCCCTGAGCTGTTCCTTCCTGTACGTGTTTGTGTCCCTCAGGATGTCCCCGTAGGTGTTTGTGTCCCTCAGGATGTCCCTGTAGGTGTGTGCGTTGTCTTTATCTTACCAGGAACCCTTTCTTACCTTGCCGTACTTCTGTGCATATGACCCAGTGAGGAGTGAATGGAACACAATGATGGTCTCGTCCAAGTCCCACACAAACACGCGCTACGGAAAGGAGGAGGAACGGGCTGTCAGCACGCTCATCATTCCTCACCGTGGTCATGAAACGTTAAACACATGGTATTCCCCTGCATTCAAAAGGGCCCCTTTGCTATGGCATTCCTACAAAAATTTAGCAACAAAATATGTGTAGGAGATACTACAGTATGGATGACACAGATGCGGTCAAGTTTTCAAGGTTGAACTACAGCTAGCCAAATAAACAGGCTACAATGGTTAATATTCATAACTCCAAAGAGACAGGCATTTTTCTAGCGAGTCAGGAGACAACATATGGGATAATTACAAATAAGAACTTCGAATATGTTATCGTCATGCATATCAAAGAGGGCATATAGGGCATGTCTGCGCAGGTCCCCGTCTTTCAGGGGTGCTGCTCAGGGCCTACCTCCAGGTCGCTGTCTGGGGGGGGCGATGGATTGTTCTTTCTCCCCCGACCGCGGGCCTTTGAACCCGAGCTCCGGCAGGTCCGGTCATCCAGGTCTTTGATGGGGGTGGAGGGACTCTGCACGGTGTCGAAGTCCGCTAAGGACACGGGGAATGGGGGTGAGTCTGCGTCCACACGGTCCCCCAAACGCCCCAGCACACACGGACGTAAAAAAAAAAAACAACCCAAAAAACACCCACAAGCGATTCAATATCTGTTGTTGAGCTGGAAATGCACTCACACGTACGCAACATGCATGCAACCGAGGCCAAGCTCTGAGACCCCCCCCCTCCAATACTTGTGCCCGAAAGAACTAACTGGAACCAGACGGCTGTCCGGCTCACGTATCGTTATGTCTCAATCAGCGAGCGAGACTGAGGCTTGGATTTGGAAGAAGAGGGAAAGTGTCTGTGATTGGAAAAGAACGATAAGGGGCCTTAATGAGAGGCCTGGACGACAGCCAGAAAAAGCACAGGAGAAGCAAAAAGCAAAAAAAAAAAACAAGAACCATTACATGCAGGAATGGGCTGAGTTTTTAGGCTCCGCTTTGATTGAAGGGGGGAAATACCCCCCAATCACAGCTCAGAGCTTTAACATAAATAAAGGATATCGGAAAAAGCAGACCGTGGCGATTAGGGTCGCCGACCGTCGGCCTCGACAGACGCAAAGCTGGTTTTCATTCATTAAAAAGATGGTAATGTGCACCAGCTCTGGGACATTCTGATGCACACACACACACACACACACACACACACACCAGCGGTGGCAGTGCGCTCGAGTGTGCGGCCGATGCTGCCAGCCGCTGTCGCTCGGGCGCTAAACCTCAGGGACAGCATCACGGTGAGACAATAACCGACGCACTCAGATGCTGTTTCTATGATATAATTATCCATATTTCTTGTATGTTTACCAATAATGAATTTGTCGGCCGAACAGCTTATATACAGAGATCAGATGGACTGAAATAAATATATTCTGACAATCAAAGAATCGCTTTAAGAAATGCCCTCACTAGATTTCTCTCCCTGTTCATGGGCTTTATTGCTAAGGTCAGATGTTACTCTAAGTACTTTATGTCAGCAGAATCCCGAAACACCTCAATAAAGACGTGCAAAATCTGGTCTCCCAGCGCAAAGTGATTGCTTGTCTGTTATATAGCATTAAACAAAACTAATAATATGACACATATTATAAATAAATGATGACAGAGATTGCGAATATCCATCCATCCATCCATCCATCTATTTTCTGTAACCGCTTGTCCTATTCAGGGTGGCGGGGGGTCTGGAGCCTATCCCAGAGGCTATGGGTGCAATGCAGGGAACAACCCAGGATGGGGCAATTGTGAATATAATGAAAATAATGTAATAATGCATCATTAATGCTTATTCATGGAACAGTAAACCAATAACATTATAATGCAAAAGAGTATACAATGTATAAAATGAGCACAACACACATATATCACAAACTCTCCCAAAGGTGATGGAAGGGCACCATGAGTAAGTCGGCACATTTCTAAAACTTCCTGAATATCTACTATTTCCTCAGCCAATGCTTCTCAGCCCGGTCCCCAGGGACCCCCAGACGGTCCACATTTTCACTCCCTCCCAGCTCCAGAAAGGAACTGAGAGGGAGCGAAAATGTGGACCATCTGGCAGGGAGCTGGGAGGGAGCAAAAACAGAGAAAAATGTGGACTGCCTGGCAGGGAGCAAAAATGGAGCAGAAACATAGACCGGCTGGCAGGAAACTGGGAGGGAGTGAAAATGGAGCAAAAACTAGGACTGTCTGGCAGGAAGCTGGGAGGGAGCGAAAACGGAACAAAAACGTGGACCGTCTGGCAGGAAGCTGGGAGGGAGCGAAAACGGAACAAAAACGTGGACCGTCTGGCAGGAAGCTGGGAGGGAGCAAAAATGGAGCAAAAACGAGGACTGTCTGGCAGGAAGCTGGGAGGGAGCGAAAACGGAGCAAAAACATGGACCGTCTGGCAGGAAGCTGGGAGGGAGCAAAAACGTGGACCGTCTGGGGGTCGCGGAGGACCGACCTGTTCTAAGCATGGCTCTGCTGCCAATGAAGGTCGTATTCTGTGAGCAAGACTACAGGGGGAGGTTTGGTGTTAGGGGGCTGAAATTTGGTTCTGGGAGAGGTCTGTCCTCACCAGCAAGTGAGGGGGAAGGGTGAGTGCGTGGGGGGGCATTATGTTGTTACTCAAGGAACAAAAAGGTGAAAGAAAATAGAATATGCAGAGTGCAGAGCCCTGACCGTCCTTTTGGCCAGCCCCCAGTCCAGCCACATGTGGGCCATATCAAAGCCTGGTGCTGGAACCCGCCCTGCAAGCAGATGGGACTCACCTGGGTGGAGTTCGGCCGCCTGTCCCGCCAGGGTGGGCACCGAGTCCTGCAGCTGATAGGTGGAGGAGGCGGAGCTGGTGCCGTCCAGGGCAGGGCTGTGGGTCACGTACGCCCCATAGGTGGAGGCCGAGTAGTACTGGGCGTACTGGTTCTGCCCGAAAGCCGTGTAGGAAGGGTAGTCCTGCAAAGAGCGATGACGACTCGTCTGAGTCAAACATGTCTAGCCAAAAAGGATTGCACAACTGCCCCTCAGGACGGCGTCCTAGACCCCCACTCAGGGGGGGAGCACTGTGTCCTGGTGCACGTCACACCAGCCGAGCCTTTGAAGAGAAGCTTTTATGATTCTCCCTCTGTATCTTTGCTAACAATTAACATTAGCGAGCTGGGGGTTTATTGAAGGCCTGGCCAGGGAGTTTTTTATAGACAAGCCCTAAAGCTGTCACTGCATCGTCACAGCGGGGACACACAGGGCAGTAAAAACTCCCCCTCATGTCTTCCTTTCTGTTATGGGCCCATTTTGGCCATTCCTGCTTTTCCTCTGATACCTGGTGCCTAGTTTAAAAGCCACTGTCTGCGAAGCATCAACATGAGAGGAATCTATTCAGTCCCGTCGGACTGCGGGTACCGCCATGGCTCAGTGAGAGATCTGGGCTCGAACTCAGGGGCACGGACCTGGGGGGCATTAAGGTCTGCCTCCCAATTGTAATGGGGGGAGGGGGCTATCCTCACCCTTGGTCCACCAGAGTGCAGAAATAATGGTCTCATGGGTGGCAGGGCAAAGCCGGTGGGGCCCCGGGGCCCGACGTTACCTGCTGGGAGCCGCTGAAGTTGGCGGCGTTCGATGCGGAGTTGCCACTGGCGTAGATGCCCGAGGAGGCGGTGAAGCTGGAGCCTGGGACAGAAGGGGCAAGACAGCGAGGTGGCATGAAGTCACATGACCACAGTCAGGCGGCCCACACACAAACATGCTGCCACACGGCTACGTTTTACGAAGTCTGACCGGGCATCTGATAGGGTGAGTAGGGTGTTTGGCCTGGCTGGGGCGTGGTGAACCCTGGGCTGTAGCTCAGCCCGGCCTGTAGGGGGGGCTGCGACTGAGATAATCCACCCTCAGTCTTGATGCCGGGTAACATAACACCCAAGTCTGCTGGAAAAAACAAACATTTACATTCACATTAATTTAGCAGACGCCTTTGTCCCAAGCAACATACAAGCTTGGCACATAGTACATTGCAGCTGTTATGTAAGTGATGGACAGGAAATTAATATGCTGTTTGAGCGTCCCATAGAAAGTGGGTCTGAGCTAGTCTAATTCCTTCCCATGATGCTTAGGGGCAATATCTACATCTATAAAGCAGCAAAGCGGAGGTGCCCACCGCGATCAGAGAGCACTGGTGTTTGACCCTAGGTTAGCCGTCGGTAGAAGCCTACCATACGTGGAGAGTCCATAGGGCTGGCCCGTCTGGGAATAGGCGCTGTACACGGACGACTGCGGCATGCTGCTGAACTGGGACTGGCCTGCATACGCCTGCATGGACTGGGCCGCCGGCGCCGACAGGATGTGCGGGTATGGCCTGTGGATAAGGGGGTGGGGTCTCACCATGTGACACAAGGGTGTGTCTGGGTGGGCATGTGAGTGGCATGCATCCGTGTGCGTGTCTGTGTATATACGTCTGTGTATGTGTATGTCTGAGTATATCCACATGTGTATGCCTGTGTGTATTTCTGAGTTTTTGTAATTACATTGTAGAGACCAGATTCCTCCAGAATGTGATAAAAAATCTGTCACTTTTTAACATTTTTTCAGTCCTCCAAAGGATAATCTCAATTGTATAAAAATCGAACGCAATCAAAAAACTAAAACAGCCAAAAGTCTTGTATTTTGTTTAGTTACTTAAGGTTAAGGTTAGGGCTGGGTAGGGATTTCAGATTAGGATTACGGTTACAGAAATGAACGGAGTGTCCCCATAAAGATATTAATATATGGACTGAGTGTGTGCGTGTTTGTATTTACCATATTGTGGGGACCAAATGTCCCCACAATGTGGTTAACACCTGTCACTTTTTAACTTGTGGGAATATTTTTCAGGTTCCCACAATATAACCCTCAATTTAATGAAAATCTGTGAATGCAATCAGGTATAACAATGTAATAATAATAATAACAAATTTTTTGTTTGGTTACTTGTGTAAGGTAAGGGTTAGGATTAGGGTTATGGCCATAGAAATGGATGGAGAGTCCCACAATGATAGGAATATATGACCTGTATGTGTGTTTGTGTGAGTGTGTGTTTGTGTGGTCCTGGTATACATTACACTGTTGGGTCCAAATGTCCTGAAAATATGATAAAAACCTGTTATTTTGATGATGTGGGGACTATTTTTTTGGTCCTCCCAAGGGGAAATATGTGTGTGTGTGTGTGTGTGTGTGTGTCTGCGCTCTTAGGACTGACGTACCCCCACCCATATGCAGCTGAGCGATCATGGAGCGGCAGGGCGGGAGGCTTTAATTAGAAAGGGGGCACTGACGGCATGTAAGGGGGGCTTACTGATGGCCGTGGGGGGGGGGAGCTACCGGGTGGCAGCTGTCACACTTACTTTGAGGGGTAGATGGGTGGCGAGTACTGCTGGGTGGACCGGGGGCTGTAGCCACTGCTGGTTATCACTGTGTAGGGGAGTGAAATTGACAAACAATTAAAATATCAGCTGGTTGTAAAAAAAAAAAAAAAAAAACATAAAAAAATACAGGTTTCTGTGTTTATGTGGCTGTGAGGTTTTAAAGCTTAAAAGACGTGACACACACTGCATGGTAAGAAACAAAGGTGAAATATGAAGGTGAAATATGCCCAGCCCCCCACCCCGGAAATGGCTGACGGGTAGCGTATCTGGCGAGTGGATCGAAACCTTGTGGCCTGTCCCCCCCGGTCACCAGCAACATCAGAAACATTAAAGAGACACACATGTGCTTCAGACACAGCAGCCCCATGATACACTGCTGGAGGTGTGACACCGACCGGCCGCTCTGCCATCAGTGCAAACCCCTCCACCATGACTGAACACCGCCATGAAAAACCAGGGCGACAAGACAGTCTATGCTGCCACAATTCATTTTATCACAATTTCATAACAGTAAGTTAAAATATACCCTTGTCACGCTGGACGCAAACCTTTAATGGGGAATGCGTCCCTGTTTCTAACCCTCCATGCTGGTTGTTATGTTATGTGCTAATTTCTTCATGCACATCAGTTTTATTTGGGATGACAACATTTTTTGGGGGGGGGGCCTTGAGCCGAACACAGTCGAGAGTTTGACCATGAAACAACGGAAGGCACCGTCGGGCAGCCGAAGGTTCAGCTTTCACTGTGGGTCTTCAGGACGCCCCCATCTGTTTGCAATCCATCCCCGCAGCCTTTGAATCTCTGCACCCGCCCCCACGCCGCACCGCTCAGCTGGGAAAACCTGTCAGCTTCTATATCGGCTCTGCCTCAGCCACACGGCCTGGTGGGCGGGGCCTCTCCTCCCCTAAATCTGCTTTTTATCATTAGGATTCATTATGGCTGCTGCTACCGTGATGCAATTGTACATTAGATCTGTCCTCAGAAGGGTCTTTGCAAAACGGACGACCCCGCTCGCGTTGGTCAATGGGCAGACGCCATGTTGTGTCACAACACAAATACACATCCCCATGGAAGGGTGAATCTGTGTGGCACCACGATGACTGGTTCTCCGTGGGTGCATGCGCCCAGTGTCCAAGGTGCAGGGTGGCTGCGAAGCATGAGTTTCAGTCTCAGAGTATTTGACCGAGCAGAGAGCAGGGAACACCAAACACTGCCCTCACACTCACAATCAGCTCACAATCACATTCGCCATCATCAAGATCGGGGCTGCTCACGGCACCCCATCTCCCCCCC